TGAGGCTGCATGCAAGACATCGTGAGAGGCAGGTGGGGGGCATCGATGGACCAACACACGTTGCGCGCAGGCGCAGTTGACTTGAAGTTTGAACGGGATGGCCAGAGTATGTTAGGTTATCTACGGTTCGGGGATGGGGATTGGACGGGTCAAAATGTCAAATGATGCCAAACCGAGCAACTGGTATACTCTTTCATATTCAGCGAACGAAGCGGTGGTCAAGGCCAAGCTTGACATTTTCTGCTCTCCTCCCCTAGAGGTGGAGGAAGTTCAACGAAGTGGAACCATTGAGCTGAGCTGAGCCGACCATGCCATTTTTTCCCCTTCCCGGAAGAAACTAGTGTACTCCCCTGGTCAGATCTGTTTGAAGAAACTAGTAGTAGTACACCAGCTCGTGCAGAGTCGATGCCAAACTACGGTCAAACTAGCTAACCAATTGATTGCTATCATCGCGGGCTCGCGGCAAATAGACCTAGTCCATCTCCCAAGCCGAGCCTCAAACTGTTAGCATACGATTCGGACAGGGCGGTCTGGATGAGTTGTGCCACTCAACACGGTCCTGTGTCGATCGAGCGGTCTGGGCCACGTTTTTTCGTTAAACTGAAACTAAACATGAGGTTTTGTGAGAGTCCGGACAACAAACACGTAGGACTCCGATATTTCTGACACACCCCAAAGGCAGACGGAGCCTGCGCTTTTGTAGCTGCCCGCCATGTTTCCGCGACAAAATCCACAATCCCTTCTTCCATCTCGTCGCTCTCCATCCAACTCCTGCTCTTTTCTCCCGCTATCTTCTTCCCTTCGGCCGCCACCGCCGCATGGAACTAGAGGAGAGCCTGTCGGAGATGGAGGATGTGGTGGATGTGCTGGAGGATCCGACCATCGCGCTTGCCCGAAAGATCAACTCGGTGACGTGGCAAAAGCGTTGCGTCAAAGCGAAAGCCGCAAAGGAGGAGACCCTCAAGAAGCGGGCCGCCGGCGGAGGGCACGCAGGCAGGCATGCTGGTCACGGACGAGGTGGAGGCTATGGGCGCGGTGCGCAGATGGTGTCGCCCACCGTACAGACGCCGCCATGGCCGAAGCATTACAAGACTCCGTACTTCTACGCCGGGAAGCAGCTGGATAGGCAGTCTCCGGCAGGCGCTACCATGCCATTCATCGTCGACGTCAACGTAATGTCGCTGCTCTTCTCTGAGTATTCTTCACGGACGGCGGACGGGGAGCAAATGGGTGCCTGAATTTTGTTTGCTTGTATGCCTAAAGTGGGGAGTCGACCTACGACGAAGACGGACTGCTAGGTATAATGGACATCATTCACAATGAAGGCGAAGAAGGAGGTGCCTATGAGGACGGATAGGTGAAAATTTTTAAATTGCCTTTTACTGATGGATATATACGCGATAGCATTGAATAATGTCTTTGGTATCAGAGTATTTTACGGGTCAGCCTCGGATGCCCTTATACTACTACTCCGATAGACGGACTGCTAGGAATTTGTTACATTATCAGGAGTTGAATAATCTGTTGGAGGTTGACGGGGGAACGTGAAGAATCCACGCAGCTCGGTCGCCACGAATATGCGACGGAGACACTCGAATTCCAATGATATTTTTAATTTCAATAATATCACTTGCTCGCCTTGTCTGATACGTTCTCACAGGTCCATTTGCTGTCACGGACCGGGGGGACTCTGAACGAGTCCTGCGTAGTACGTGGTACAACCAGTAACTGTCTTCCGCCAGCATTCAAGGATTGGAGCGAAGCTAGAAACTGAAAGAGGTTCCGTTGACTAAGGTTTTACTGTCACTCTGTCACCTTACAATTCTACCGAACCCATGTATTGTATCATTTTTTTTGGTTTCTAGTCACATATTGCCACACTTTGCCACAACTCATCTTAAGCAAATTTAATCAAGTTAGATGGGTGTTTGGTTCTAGCCACACCTAAGGTAATAATTTTTTATTAGCAGTGAAGCTAGAAACTGAAAGAGGTTCCGTTGACTAAGGTTTTACTGTCACTCTGTCACCTTACAATTCTACCGAACCCATGTATTGTATCATTTTTTTTGGTTTCTAGTCACATATTGCCACACTTTGCCACAACTCATCTTAAGCAAATTTAATCAAGTTAGATGGGTGTTTGGTTCTAGCCACACCTAAGGTAATAATTTTTTATTAGCAGTGAACCGCACATGTCATAAGCATAAAAAGTGTGGCAAGATTCCCTTAGGCAAGCCAAAATGTGGCTAACAATTTAAACAACTCAAGTTAGGCAAATGTGGCAAGTGTAACAAAAATAATGTGGCAATATAAGGCAAACATAGTCACAATCCAGACAACCTAGTTTTGCGAGGGATATTGTGACAGTTTCTTTACTCGTAATCAACAGGGGAAGCCTGATGTTTTCCCTCATTTTGTAATTGTGTTTTCGAAATCATGTGAATCAAATAACATGCCTACGAGTATACCTTTTTTTTCTTCAGATTTTCTTCTTGAGCTGTAGAATTATAAGATGACAGTAAAACCTTATTAGTGATCTTTTCATGAGATCACTGAGTGCTTTCGATGGGAAAAAGAAACAAGCTCCTGTAGCCGGTCCATCAAAAGCACTTTCCACCCTTATTTTTGTTTTCTACCCTCAAGCAAGCAGTCGAACTTTAGAAAACTCGTCTTTTCTATTTACTTTTAGAAAAAAGGAAAAACCCCGTCCAGTTTCAAGTAACTATATAATGTCTTCCCGACAAGGGAAATGATTCACCCGCAAAAAGAAAAAAGATAAGGAAGATGATTGGGACCAACCGACTGAAAACCACTTTGGCACTGGTCGTCTCCTCCACTTGCCACGTGTCTGCTTCCCTTACCGCAACCTTATCTCTTCCTTCTCGCCTCTTCTTCCCCGCTGCCATGCACGGCCTTCTCGTGGTGCTCCAGTTGCGATTTGTGGCCCCCGTAGATGGCCATCTTCCCTGACCTATGCCCCATCACCCAGATTCATGGCCTATGTTGCCGGCCTTCTCCCTCACCATCAGTGGCGGAGCCAGCGTTGAGTCGATGGGTTCAGCTGAACCCAACGATTTTTCCGTCGCTCCTCGTGCATGCATGTATTTTTCTGGCATGAACCCAACAAAAAACCATGGCTGAACCCATCAAATCAGCATTCCACGTACAGAGAAAAAAAAGAAAAAAGATCCCACGTAGTAGCCAGTCAAAAGCCCAAAAGCCCACATCATGTGAAGTGCCTAGGTCTGTTTGTGCGTCTTCTCTTTACGAGTACTTGGCCGCCGCCTCTCCGTTCGTTGAATCGCTTCCTACAAGAAAACTCAAACAATCTCATCTCTCCTGTTGGGTGTTTCACCGTCGATTGGTCGCCACAGGCCAGCTGCTGAGGGACAACCGAACCACTAATACAGATTCAAGGTAATGAATCACAATCTGCGCATCTCCTCTCTCATCTGCAGGTCCTATCTAGTCTACTACGATCCAAGTATCGATTTTTGCGCGAGTTTTCTAGTTCCTTATCCCCTGTACTTTGATTATATGGACATTGAGATTATCCCCAGTACTATTGAATGATATTTCTTAACTAAAAAAATAAATCGCCAGATCCAGATATGATGCAGACATTTCAAGGCCAACTATTATGCCCAGGAAAAATGCATCAAATTTCAATGCTGCAAGTAATCCGCCTGATCGAAAGAAACTTTGGTAGTACATAAAAATTTCTAAGAAGCAAGATGTGATTAGGTGAAGATATTTAATCATTGGATCTTATGGGCAACCACCTAACTTTGATTATCCACTTAGGGTCATTGAAGATGCTTCACCAAGATTTGATCCAGAATGATGGTTCACTTGAGTATAGCGACAATATGCATAAGACCTCATGTTCGTGCTGCTTTCTTTTCAGGGATAACAATAAGGGACAAGTTAAGAGTGATGCATTAGCAAGTATAATGGTAGTTATTTTAGATGGGTCAAACTAACTTGTCGATTTCTTCAACGTTTCAGCAAGATGAGAAAGCTATACTTGAATCTATGAAGTTTTTTGGTCCTGGACTAGCTATAATATCTAACCGGTATGTCTGTCGTGCACTCTTCAATTTTTTATGTAACACAATATATGATAAGTGATGTCATATTTTTCATTTGTATCTTGCTTTTGAGTGCTATGATCTTTTGTTGTGAGATTGTGTGAAATTAGACTTTACACTAGATTAATTTGTAGCAATCTTCACAAGTCAATAAATGAACCCAATGGCTAAATTTACTGGCTCCGCCCCTACTCACCATGAACGCCCGCCCGACCATGCTGCAGGTGTGTCACTTGCTGCCAGACCAAATCCATGAGCCCCATCTTGTCCCTCTCTCCACGTGATTTTTCCTACGGATCGCCTTTTCTTCTTCTAAAGAAGCCAAAGATGCCTTTTGCAACAAGTGTCTTTGTTTCAATGGCAATTATGCCATCGAGCAGGCTAGATGAGGTTTTCTGCAGCAAGATATCTGTTGCAAAAATTTGTACAACATAATTTCCGTTGCAAAGGGTTCTGTAGCATTAACTCTGTTGCAACCGTGAAAGGGGCCGCTTGGTCGCTCCACGGCATCACATCTGACGGCTCGCGACCCGACTGATCTTTTCATAGCACGCCTCTTCATACCTCTCATGTACTAGTGGGAGAGGTAAAACAGAATAGTACACGCATATCATCCCACTTAGGTGCTAGGCCAACCTCTCGCAGGGGGCTAACCAAGACCGGGGCAACGGTTGTTCCCACTACCATTTGAATTTTCTTGTGCCATGCATCCTAGATCCTACCCCTTTCCCTACTTAACTCCAGTTAGCAAATCTCACACTAGTACACTATATAAACCCGGCTCGCTCCACTTTCCTCCTCAGCTCCACTCCGCGAGCGTTATCAACCTGAAACCCCCACAATCGAATAACCCAACAAAACAAAAAAGCAAAAAAAAGCCAGAGCTTCCAGCAGTTTGAGTAACAGTCAATGGTGGGCTTGGCCAAGATCGCCATGGGATGGCTCAAAGAGCCACTGAGCTGGCTTTTCATTGCCTCCGTGGTCTTCGTGGTGCTGCAGCGGCAGCGGCGGCGTGGCAAGGCCAAGGCGCCGCCGCTGCCTCCGGGGCCGTACCCGCTGCCGATCGTCGGCAACATGTTCATAATGGACCAGCTGACCCACCGGGGCCTCGCGGCTCTGGCAAAGCGGTACGGCGGCATTCTCCACCTCCGCCTCGGCCAGGTCCACGCCGTCGTCCTGTCGACGCCGGAGTATGCCCGGGAGGTGCTGCAGGCGCAGGACGTCGCCTTCTCGAACCGGCCAGCCACGGTCGCCGCCATCTACCTCACCTACGACCGCGCCGACATGGCGTTCGCGCACTACGGGCCCTTCTGGCGCCAGATGCGCAAGCTGTGCGTGATGAAGCTCTTCAGCCGGCGCCGCGCGGGGACCTGGCTCGCCGTGCGCGACGAGTCCGCGGCGCTGGTCCGGGCCGTGGCACGGCGGAGCGGCGAGTGCGTGAACCTCGGCGAGCTCATCTTCAACCTCACCAAGAACGTCACCTTCCGCGCCGCGTTCGGCGCCGACGCCGCCGGCGACGCCGTGAAGCGGGACGAGTTCATCGCCATCATGCAGGAGTTCTCCCAGCTCTTCGGCGGGTCCAGCATCGGCGACTTCATCCCGTGGCTCGGCTGGGCGGACCAGGGCCTCAACGTGCGCGCCCGCGCCGCGCGCGCCGCCCTGGACGAGTTCATCGACAGGATCATCGACGAGCACATGAGGAGAGGCAAGAACCCCGACGACGTGGACGCCGACATGGTGGACGACATGCTCGCGTTCCTCCCTGAGGCGAAGCCGAAGAAGACCGCTGGCGACGACCTGCAGAACTCGCTCCGCCTCACTCGTGAAAATATCAAGGCCATGATCATGGTAAGGGCACCGAAAATTCCATTCTTAGTTTTCATATTATTATAAATATTTTGGTCTAAGTCAACTCTTTAATTACTCGTAAAATCCTGGTGAGTGAGCATCGCCTTCAACTCTTTAATTATACTCGTAAAATATTGCTAGTCAGGCTCTAGTGGTCCCCATTCGTTCTTGTCGAAGATGCACATATAGGATATACTACCTCCGATTCAGTTTACAAGTCCTACGCGTATATCTAGGTTATCAATTTTATCAACTTAATATAAACTATATAACATAAAAATTATACGGTTTGAAAATAAAACATCTAAAGTTTGCATTGATATATTTTTTGTAATATAAGACTTGTATTAGGTTGGTCAAATTGACGACCTAGGGGCACGCGCACGCCCTGTAAATTGAGAGAGAGATAGTATATAGCTATGAGTATTTTCAGAAGAAAAAAATCCAGCTTATCCGTTTATTATTCCGGTTTTGTGTTTTTGTCTTTTTTCTGAAATTTTCCTTGATATTTTTATTACTTTTGTTTTCCATGTTTCATTTTACAAAAAGATAACAATGTTTCTATAAACACACAACATTTTATAAAAATACTTTAATACTTTTCCAAAAAATCATTAACATTAAAAATAATAAACTGAGCACATTTTATTTTATAAATATTTGAACACATTTTAAATTTACATGGAACTTTTTGAAACTGCATGAATATTTTAAAACATCAAATTGTTTTTAAAATTACAGGTACGGTGCTTAAATGCTTCAATATTTTTAAAATTGTGTGAATATTTGAAAGAAGTATGCGAACCCATTTATAGGATACAAAACACTTTTCAAAATCACACAAGTAATTTATAAAATATCTAAAAAAAATCCTTTTTAAAACCAATTTCAAGTCCAATCTTCCTACACTGTGAGTATGACATCATGTGTGATCTCATTGTGTACACCGTGAGTATGTCATATGAGAACGATCTGCTTTTGCTTGTGTGTGTGCGGGCACACACGCGTAATAAAAATCTAATATAACGTGGTTGCGTGTTTTATATGTGTATGCTCGGCAGGACGTGATGTTTGGTGGGACGGAGACGGTGGCATCGGGGATCGAGTGGGCAATGACGGAGATGATGCACAGCCCCGACGACATTTGTCGGCTGCAGCAGGAGCTCGCCGACGTGGTGGGTCTCGACCGGAACGTGGACGAGTCAGACCTCGACAAGCTCCCCTTCCTCAAGTGTGTAATCAAGGAGACACTCCGGCTACACCCGCCCATCCCGATTCTCCACCACGAGAACGTCGAGGACTGTGTCGTCGGTGGCTATTCAGTGCCCCGGGGATCCAGTGTCATGATCAACGTATTCGCCATTGGCCGCGACGCCAAGGTGTGGAAGGACGCCAACATGTTCCGACCGTCGAGGTTTATGGCGGGGGAAGGGGAGGCCGCAAGGGTTGACTTCAAGGGCAACTGCTTTGAGTTCCTGCCATTCGGGTCCGGTCGCCGCTCGTGCCCCGGGATGGCGCTTGGCATCTACTCACTGGAATTTGCTGTCGCGCAGCTCGCCCACGGGTTCAGCTGGGCGCTGCCCGACGGCATGAAGCCATCGGAGCTCGACATGACTGACATCTTCGGTCTCACCGCGCCACGCTCCACTAGGCTGTGTGCAATGCCCACACCCCGGCTTACTTACCCTTTGGTCTCTGATGTCGATGCCACGCCCAAGGCGTGACGTCACGTCATATGCGCACATAAAAGTATGTAGCACAATAAAGATGTTTCACTCGATTCAGGGTAACACTATATCAGATTATTAGACAACGGGTCCATGGATCCAAAATCGAGTCAAACTTTGTAAACATTGACCAGGTTCATAGATACTTTTAGATTCACCATGAAACATATTGTGCATTTGTGCGGGCGCTTGCTACAGCCAAGCATGCATTTTACTTTATTCTTAAAGAAAACGAACTGTTAATTATTGCAAGAGTCATCCGTAAAACATTTTATTGCAAGAGTCCATTGCTCCAAAGAAACATTCTTAATATACTAAATCTAGCCTGGTTTGATTTATCTGGATTTTTTGACTTTTTCCTTTCAGTAAAATCAGGCCAATAGGATAGTGACACGTTAATTTGTGGGGGAGCTGACGGGGTGCGCTTCTGCGTGCATTTGATGATTTTGATGTGGATAGACGGTCAAAGTTTGGCTGTTGACTATAGATTGCAATCTGACTGATTTGTTACGTTTGTATAGTTGGTGGCCGCTGAAATCGCTAGCCCTACGCGCTTCGAGAGAGACCTCGTCGACGTCAAGGCCACCACGGCACCGCCGAACAAGACTATAAATAGACTCTCCTTTGCTCTTGTCAGGCTTGCTTCTTCAGTTAACAAGTGTCGTTCTTCTTCAGTTAACGAACGACCAAGATCTACGCTACGTTGCTGATCGGACGGCTCACATTGCTCGCCGTCTCACTGTACCGTTTCAACCGTTCCGTGTAGCGTTTCGTTTACTACACTGTGGCCGTCACCGCGTGCCAGCTGAGCTATAAAGCTTGCACCCCTCAACTTGTAAGGGATCAATTATTGGGAGAACCATTTCATTACTCAAACATACATCTTATATCAATACAAACCCTAGTTCGTCCCTACTATTCCCTTTCTCCTTCGTGAGATCTGTGATCCTTCTGTGGAAATCCGCCTCGATCTCCTCTGGGGTGTGACAGTTGGTATCATGAGCGTAGGTTATCCTCGGCGACGCAGCAGATCGGAGCTGCGATGGTGATCTCCCACCCTTCCCTCCCTCTTTCGTCGACGGTGACGATTTCGATGGCGTTGGCGGCGGTGTAGGTGGCGCTGGTGGTGGTAGACCCATTTGTCGGCAGCGCGTCGAGCTTGACTGGTTGTGTGAGAAAATCGCTCACTCGGTAAAATCCCAGGTCGGCGGCGTGTGGTGCTGTTCTTGGGGGCGATCTATAGCGGCGGCGGCAGGGCTGAGTTTTCAGATCCGATTCCCGGGCTAGTTCCGCGGGTAAAATTCCTCTCTGCACTACTCAGCCAAGATGGGGCGATCCAAGGCTAGTCTCGACGAGTCAGAAATCGCCGAACTCCTGGCCATGAAGGGCGAATTTCTCCAACACCGCGAAGAAACCGCTGAGCTGCGCGGCGAAGTCGATGATCTTCGCAAGGATGTGCACGCCATCGGCCTCAAGCAGGACACAATGGTCTCAGTGATGGACGGGGTTCAGAAGGCGGTATCCTCATTAAACACTCATCTCGCAAACATGGCAGATGTACTGAAAGCATTAACCGCTCCTGGGGCTTCGACATCGTCACCTCCGGACCAACCAGTTCCTGAACATCAACAAGCGAACAAGGAAACCGTTGCACCAGATGACAGGCAACTGACAGAAGAACTAAGAAAACGACTGGCCTTGGAACAAGAGAAAACTAGACAAGTTGCATCTCAAATCCCTCCCCACCTGGCACCCATCCAAGTGCCCAGACACTCAGCTCCCCCAGGGTTCAGAAACAACTCAGTTTTCGAGATCCACTCGGCCAATGGAACACCAACCGCAGCATACAAAACTGCCCGTACTCCTGGATTTCATGGATTCCAGCCACCCGGTGTTCGTCAGAGTTGGGACGACTTTCAAAAGCAGTATGATCAAGACATGTGTACACGGTTCCTCAAAAGCATCACAAAAGGACCTCGAATGGATTTCCCTCGTTTCGATGGTGACAACCCAGCCGGCTGGATACGGCAGTGTGAAAAGTAATTCCAAATGGCTTGTGCCCCTGTTGAATACAGAGTCAATTTGGCACAATTATATGTCGTGGGCAGAGCCGATGTGTGGCTACGTCGTTCGGGCATCCTCAAGAAGCAACCAACTTGGGCACAGTTCACTGAAGAAATCATGCGCCGTTTCTCATCTGCCAGCTCTTATGAACTTACTGAACGATTCAACAACCTGAAGCAAAACACCTTGAACGTGTCAAACTACACTGACCAATTCGAAGAACTGATGGCATAAATCCAACCTGACAACCCAATAATGGATGAACAGTGGTTTGTCAAATGCTATGTTAATGGGCTACGCTCACAGATCAAGTTTCAACTTAGATCACTGAGACCTAAATCCCTCACAGAAGCTTACTGGTTGGCAGTCGATATGGAGAAGGGAACAATAGAAAAGAAAGCTTTTCAAGCCCACACAAGCACAAGCAAAAGCTATACTGGTTTTCACAAAACCTATAGCCCAGCAACAGAAAAAGGGGCAGATCCCAAACCAACTATAGTGAACCAAAGAGCCAGAGAACCTGGCAAATGCTGGAGATGTGGAGATGCTTGGTTTCATGGCCATAAGTGCAAATTGGCCCCTGCTCTGAATGTCTTGACAGGTGAGGAACCTACTGATCAACAAAGAGAACATGAAGAAATAGAGGAACAAGATGTAGAAGAACAACCACAAACAGAAGAACATTGCATGACAATATCTGCACAGGCAATGCAATCAGACAATGTCAACACAATATCCATACTAGTGCAAATCGGGGGCAAACAGGGCATTGCTCTAGTAGACTCTGGAAGTAACTCTACCTTTATCAGCCTCAAGTTTGCCCTGACCACTTCTTGCACTATTCTTAAAGACACTAGTAGAGCTGCCACTGTTGCTGGGGAGAAACATTGTGGTCAGGTTCATATATACCCACAACCACATTCACTACTGGCAGTACCAAGTTCCAACAGCAATTCAGAGTGCTAGATCTCCCTGGACATGACATGGTGCTAGGCAGTGACTGGATGTCCAAGCATAGCCCTGTTGCTTTTCACTATAACCCTAGACAGATCACAGTGATGCAGAACAAGGACACTCCTATTACAATTAAGGCCTGTGACACTTTATCTGAAGCTACTCATATTGAGGCTGCAGAAGTGAACAAACTTCTTTCCTCAGGAGCTCCAGGCTATGTACTACAACTCATCAGAGACACTACCATGACTAAACTAGAGAAACACATAGTTCCTCAGCCTGTGGAAGAAGTTCTGCAGAAATTCTCTGAAGTATTCCAAGAACCAAAGGGTTTGCCCCCTAAAAGATCACATGATCACAAAATACCACTGAAAGAAAAAGCAATCCCTCCTAACTCCAGGCCCTACAGAGTACCTCACATGCAGAAAAATGAATTGGAAAGGCAAATTGATGCAATGCTCAGGGATAAAATCATCAGGGCTAGTGAGAGTCCCTACTCCTCTCCAGCAATTCTAGTAATGAAAAAGGATGGTACTTGGAGGATGTGCATAGACTACAGAAAATTGAATGAAGCAACAATAAAGAACAAGTTCCCAATTCCAGTAATTGAAGATTTGCTAGATGAATTACATGGAGCATCTTACTTCACCAAGTTGGACCTCAGATCTGGGTATCATCAAGTGAGAATGGATGAAAATGATATACCCAAAACTGCATTTAGAACCTACTTTGGGCACTATGAGTTCTTAGTTATGCCTTTTGAACTTGGAAATGCACCTGGAACATTTCAAGCCCTCATGAACAGCATCTTTGGCCCATATTTAAGGAAGTTTGTGCTGGTTTTCTTTGATGATATCCTCATCTTTAGTAAATCCTTATCAGAACACTTGGAACACTTGCAAATAGTGTTACAGTTACTGAAAGAACACCAACTGTATGCCAAACTCTCTAAGTGTGTTTTTGCAGTGACACAAGTGGATTACTTGGGCCATGTTATAAATGCAGAAGGAGTTTCTACTGACCCCTCTAAAGTAGCAGCAGTAGCTGAATGGCCAACCCCCACCACTCCTAAACAAGTCAGAGGATTCTTGGGCCTCTGTGGCTACTATAGAAGATTTGTCAGAAATTTTGGCACTATTGCAAGACCTCTGCATGACCTGCTCAAGAAAGACAATTTCTCCTGGACAGATAAACAAACCAGTACTTTTCAACAACTGAAACAAGCTTAGACAAATGCCCCAGTGCTGGCCCTACCAAACTTCACTGAGCCCTTTGTCCTAGAAACAGATGCTTCAGGTACTGGGATATGAGGAGTCATGATGCAGCAAGGAAATCCCATAGCCTACTACAGCTCCACCCTCTGTCCAAAGAATGCTGCCCTGTCCACTTATGAAAAGGAAGCCCTAGCAATTCTAGCTGCATTGAAAAAATGGAGACATTATTTCCTGGGCAATAATCTCATCATAAAAATAGACCACCAGAGTCTACAGTTTATGACAGACCAAAAGATCAACACTAGCATACAACACAAGCTGATGTTGAAGCTCCTAGAGTTTAACTTTAATCTGCAGTACAAAAAGGGCAAGGAAAACACAGTGGCTGATGCCCTTTCAAGAAAAAACACAATCATGGCTATATCACTGGTCACTCCTCAATGGATTTCTACAGTAGAGGAGTCCTATGCCAATGACAACACTTGCCAGTCTCTTCTGGAAAAGTTACTACTATCCCCTGATCATTCAGTAAACCAGAACAGATTACACTCTGGAATTATCAGGCACAAAGGAAGAATATATGTGGGCAAGGATTTAGCTCTGAGGAAGAAACTATTGTCTGCCCTACATGCTTCTGCTTTGGGAGGCCACTCAGGCAGGAAAGCTACCTATCACAGGATCAAGCAAATCTTCTACTGGCCTGGTCTCAAGCAAGAGGTGGACAACTTTGTATCTGCATGTCCTGTCTGTCAGAAAAACAAAGGA